GTAGCTATCATTCATTGTAAGCAGTGCCCATGCTTTGGTAAAGATAGTAGCATTTAACATATTTGGCTGAGCCCCTCTCCTAAGTATGACATGATACAAGAAAGCTGCTTTCCCTGGTAAGCCTCACTGCACTGCGAGGAGCTAGGGTCCGTGCACAGCCACATGGGTCTGCGTGCAGGGCTTTCTCAGGAAGGAAAACCTGAAAGTCAAATAATAGTATCTTTGTTTAGTAGTTAAGCCTCAATGTTTCTTTGTAACAATGTGCAGCTTCCTTTGTGTCTGTTCAGGGGTTTCTTCCTAATTGAAACCTCAGCTCTGTGTGTAGGGTAGATTTCTTACCTCAGTGGATAGCATGACAGATCCCACTTATCTATCAATAAGTGGCTTTCTCCCACGAAAGAATGGTTTGTCCCCATGAGTTCTAAAGTCAGATGTTAACCTTGCTTCTCAGAGACTTGCAAGGCTCTAGGCCTCTCTGTTTTACTTTCTACTTTCTGATTAAATACAGGACATCCCCTTTCTATACTAGCAAGACTCATGGGATTTTTTCCAGTTTTCCTGATTTTATGAAGAATCAGAGGGTTACCAAGCGCTGTATGGACTTAGGGAAGGTGGCCATAACTGTTGGACCTCACTCTCACCCCAGTGACCCTCACTTTGGACCATGCCCCACCTGTGCAGTAGTCACTCAGTAGATGTCCGGCAGAGATCTCAGGCTGATGCTCCCTGAGGGGGGAACCTCTGCTGCCAGTGATCCAGGGTTGGCAGATCCAGTCAACTCTGGAGGCTCCCAGGTGCCCAAGAACTGCTGCACCTGCTGTGCTGGGCATTGGCACAGACAGGCCTTTTCTTGGGAGCCAGGGTTCAGGCAGTGGCATTTGTTGATGGTGGGGGGAGAGACTGGGTGGCCCCAGGAGTCTTTTCTCATCTCCAAGGGCATGAGACCCTCTCATGGGAGATGATTTCTGGCATACACAGCAAACAAGTTTTGGAAGTAAAGTGTCTTATGAGATTAACCCAAGGCTCCTAAGATCTGCTGAGGTGCTGAGAGGTCAGCACTCTGTTCCAGGTTAATGTCCTTAAGTCTGTCCCAGGATGAAGCCAGGACCTGTGGTGGTATTCAGAGTGAAAAGATTGGCATATGGTCAGTGACTGAGCTTCTCAGTCGGAGAGGCAAGCCCGGGCTCGGCTGGGGCAGGTTCCCAAGACCACCCAGGCAGGATGGTTCTCTAGGAGCTCTGGCAGGACTTGACACATGGTGGACACACAGCTGTGGTTTATTCAAGGAAGGACTCAAAGCCAGATCAGCAGTAGCAAGAGGTGGAAGCCAGGGCCCCAGGCAGGAGCTCTGAGGTTTCGTGGTGTCACACGGGATATACTCAGCTCCTCTTGGCAGGTGCTGTGCAACACACTAGTTCTCGGGAACCATCCTCCACAGGAGCTCTTCGTGTTTGGAGGCTGTTTACTCCCTGGGCTGACGACATTTGCCTTAATTAGTGTGTGTGGGAATGTCTTGGGAAGAGACCTCAATGAGAGTTCCAGGTTTTCCAAGGTCACCTGCTGAGATTTCAGAGAAGCTGACTCCTTGGCACATTGGAGCTGAGTTGCCTAATAGCTTTGGATGTGGCAGCTGTGCTGGGTGCTGGGAGCCTCATGCCAAAGAGCCACCTTGCTGTTCAGAAGCAGCTTTGCACCTGCCCTCAGCCAGCTCCCCATGAATGATGGCAGCTGGGCAGCCAGGATAAGGAACATACCAAGAGCTCACTGCTGGAAATACCATGGCACACAGGCCAACAGCCCAGCCACCTCTTTGCTACTCTGTTGACCAGAACCTCCTTCTCTGTTTAAAATAGAGGTCCCTCCTATTGTGTGCACCAGGGGCCACCATGGTAATGGAGGATGTGGTCACAGTGACGTTGGCTGTGAGGACAGGGAGGGTTTCCCTGCAGTTCCCAGGTGGAATCCTGTCTACAGCACCCTGTAATTACCACAGCTCTCCTAGGCAGAGAGGAAGGCAGTGGTTTGCAAATGCTGTGAGGACAGAAGAGCACTGGTTCCATGGCTGAAGGCAGCATTGTAGAAATAAGACAAAACCACAGCAGCAGGACTGAAGTGTGACTGAGGGTTAACTCATCTGCACAGTCCAAGTGATAGATCCTTAGCTACTCAAGGAGACGTGCGCTTGCATACTCTCCCCACGCCCAGTTTTGCTTCCTTGGTTGGAAAAGACCCAGAGAGAGTGAGTGCTCACCTTCACAGAGATGGAAGTCTCAAGTCAAAGTCCCAGGTCCTGTTTCTCGGGGCTGTGCAGAGTATGTGCCTCCATCCAATATCCCCTCTTGGTCAGCATGCAGTTCCCTGGGCTGTCAGCCTGTGGTGCCCCAGCTGGATGGAGCCCCAGCCTGGGGCTCAAACCACATGTCATTCGGGCTCTGGAACCCATTTGTCTCCCCACCTGATTGAAACACCACTGTGACCAGAAGCATCAGAATTCATTGCAATGTGAGACAAGTAGACATGGAGTTAGCTACATGAGTGCCACTGGCCAATTGCTCTGCCATGATGGTCACAGAGTCTTTCCCGGGACCTGCTGCTCTGGTCACACATGCTTCTTGTGTCTGGAACCCAACAAGCCCTGGCTGCACAAATAATCCCCATCCTGGTCCCACTGTGTTTGCTGAGCATTTACAGGGTGCCAGGACCTGAATGGGGACACACCTATTTCCAGGAGCCCTGTCTCAGGGGTGGAGCCAGCAGCATGAGGTGGAATTTTGCCAGGGGGACAGCTGGATGTCAAGCAGGGTAGGAGCAGGACTGTGGGATGAGGCTCCTGGACTGGGCCCTTGTGCTGCCCTCCTGTCTTCTTCTTCCCAGGATACCACTCGGTAACAATGTCACCATCTGGGTAATTTCACACCTGACTTGCAATACCAGAGCCTTCCAGACCAGAGTGAGTCCAAGATGTGCTGCTGTCTTACCCCATTGTACAGCTGAGAAGCTGAGGCCGGCAAGGCTGAAAGGCCCAGTAGAGCCCATGGCAGTGACATGCCAGGAGACTTGCAGTCAGACCACACTGTCCCCTGTCAGTGCAGGAGTGGCAGTTGACCACATTCTGGCCTTTCTTGGGTCCCTCAGAAGTGGATTCGAGGGTCCCTGGCAGGGCTCCTGGTGGGGGGTCAGGCACGTGGCTGGGCTTCATGGGTTAGAGGTGGGGGTGATGATGCTGGGTGGTCATTGCCCTGCTCATGGCAGCCAGAGAGCTCTTTGCTCCTTCTCAGCAAAGACGGCTGCCCTGGGCTTCAGGGAGGCGGAGTCTGCTCTCCCTCTTTATGGTTCACACTGCACACATGGCAGATATAAGCAAAACTGGGAAATTTTTCATTGTTTTCAGAGAACATTTTCTGCACCTGAGGGAAGACTTGGGCTTAGGGGTATTCTAATCCCATGTGGCAGGGAACTTTATAGATGTATTTAGGTTCATTTTCACAGAAGCTACCTCATAACCTGAGTCCTGCTGCTTTGATGGTGGGTGACCATTTCTCGTGTGAATAAGAGAACAGGTGAGCTCAGGATCTGACTCCATTGCAAACACAAGTTGATGATCCCTGTGGTGAGGCCCAGCAGAAAACATCACAGTGCCCTCGAAGAGCCAGTCGTCCACTTGAGAAGCTAAGACTCATTCATAAAACAACTCACGTGCAGTTTCAGCACTAGCTATCAGGCACTCATGGTACTCGCTGGAGAAGGGGAGAATCCGCTATTGGTAATCACTTGGGGCTTTGAGAGGCAGGTAGAGATGACATTCTCTGCGAGGAGGGAGCACATGGCTCCAGGAAGCTGGCGTGGACAAAGGTACACAGTGGGAATGACCCTGCAGGCCCCTGAGGGCCAGGGAAGGTACTGACTAGTTCCATTGGGAGCTTGCAGAGGAGACCAGTGAGAAAATGTTCACCTGAGAGACATACAGAGCAAAGAAGTGGCCAGCCCGCTCTGGGTAGGGTAATTCCCTTGAATTCCCAGGTGGGAGGGCTGGACACAGGAGATTTCTCTTGATGGACGTAAGGTGGAGGTGGCAGCTCTTGCTATGTGTGGGGAGGAGGAGAGAAGTGGGATGTGCAGTTGTGTGGCAGTGACTCCCACAGGCTGTGTTTGTGCGTGCTAGTGCGTGTGAAGCTGCGTGGGACAGTGATAGTCCTTATTATCTGGTTCACACCGGGTAGTTTGTAAACTTGTCTTCCCAGCAGTCAGCACGTTCTCCAGCTGCCTTTGCCTATGTTTTGTCTAGAAGGGAGATTTACCCCTTAGAAGGTGTCTAAGGCATCCATTCCATGAAGAACTATCTTAAGGCTGTCATCTGTGGACATGGGGTCTACCCGCCTTCAAGAACAAACCCCAAACTCCCAATGTTTTCTGAGCTTGCTACACACAGAGTATCCAGTTCCCGATGCACAGGGGAATTTCAAATGATTTAAACTATTAAAAATAGATGCATTTTTTCAAAACTACGTTCATGGCATTTTAAAAGTGTCAAAGATAATTCCTGTGTAGCAATTCCCTGCTGGCCAATTTTACAATAAGTAATCCTTAATGACTTTGGTGGTTTTTAAATGGCTCCTGTAGGGCAGAGTTTGACAGCAGTATTCTCCCCTTCCTACTTTTGACTCACAGGACTCTGGAAGTCCTATGCCAAGGTGTTTTCCATAGCAAGTCTTCGTTTTCACTTGCAGGGGTGTCTGCTTGCTAATGCTGGGTTATTGGGATTGATCTGAACTTTTCTATGATGAGTTATCTCCCCCCGCCACACACACAGTGTGTGTATTAGAAAAGCAAAACCTCCAAGAAAATTACTGGAAATGGAAACTGAGTCACAGCATTGAAGATGCACCCACCAGAGAAGAGTCACACCTGTGGTATGGCTGGTCTTGGATGTGTGCTTTGATCTGGGAGCCTCCTGTGTGGGTAATATTTAATATTGACCATTCTTAAATGATCTCTTCCAGGGTTCTGGGACCGGCAGTGACTTTCAAAGTGAGTGCCAACATTCAAAATGTGACAACTGAGGATGTCACAAAAGCCACAGGTAAGATGATCTCATCATGTTTGTGCACACACTCATGGTCAACAGAGAGGCAGTGGCACAGGGCCACCCAAAGGACTGTGCTGTCTCCAGGTAGACTGAGTCTGCGGCAGGGTAATGTCAAGGTCAGCCCCACCTGGGCCTCACCGTTTGAGTTTCTCTGAAGTGTGGACCTGGCTTTAGCACCTTGGCACTGCTGCATCTAAGAGGTAAAATAAAACACAGTTTTGGAAAAGCAAGGGTTGGTGTCTGCAGCATTCACTGAGCACAAGCAATGCAACTGGTTGGAGGTTTTTTATGCAGTGTCAGCCAGAAGCACACAGATCTTCTCTGTCATCCACGGGCAGAAACCTAACACAGGTCCCAAGATGGCTCTTGGTTCAACTGTTAGATCCTAAGTTTCTGAGCGTCTCTAGAACCTGTCCTGATGGAGCAAGAGAGGCTTGGGATGTGATTGGTGTTGGTCATTGATTGAAAAAACAAAGCTCCACCAACTAGCTGCTTGGAGACAAAAGAGAACAGTCTCTGCATTTTCCTGAACACCGTTTCAGCCTACAGAGTGTTCCTGTGAACTGTGTTGTGTAATCTTTCCGGTGAGAAAAACAAGGTGATGTTATAGGACCTCAGGTCAAGGCTGTATCACTTTGAGATGACTTGGAGAGTGCAGGTGTCTTGGAGTCATTTTTGAGAGGTCAGGCTGAGTCCGTGGCCCCCAGACATGGCAGAGCACAGCTGTTTGAATGAACCTTTTGCATTGCTGATTCTGTGAACTGTTTTGTTTTTACTGAGATTTAGGGGTTTTTGAGGAAGAATGGAGCAGTGTTCTGCTTGACTGGAGGGAGGGGTGCTTGCCCTTCTCTGTGGCATCAGAGTGGCTCCTGCTGCTGTAGCTTTTTATCCAGTGCTAGTGAGAAAGGCACAGAAGCTGCCCCGTCTTCTCCAAGGGAGCATATCACCATCACCGTCACCGTCTTCTCCATTTTGGTTGCTGTTGCGTTTGCTTAGAGGGTGTCTTTGTGCCTTTAGGAACTCTTAGTTGCCAAAGGTAGTGACTTGGGGGGCTAGTGGGCTTTTTTTATTTAAAAATGGATTTCTTGCAAGGTTGTGCTGAATGCCAGAAGTCTGATGGAGCTAAGCTTTGCAGAAGGCTGCACCCCAGCTTCCGTTTGTCACAGGGCTCTTGGAGCTGGGGCACAGTGCAGCAGACTATGGCTTCCTTGCTCCCATGAGCAGTGTTGTGTGGTCTAGGAAAAGGAGCCCAGTGACGCCACCCTGAACACGCCACATGGACGCGAGGGACTTCAGATTTTATAGCTTTGACCCTCAGAGGCTTCCGGCTACCTCTTCCCTCAGTAGTGTCTGCTTTACATGTGCCGACCCGATTCCTCCCTGGTTACTGAGCATATTAAAGGTGAGCGCTTGCCAAAGGTTCATGAGGAAACGCGTGGACAGTGACAGTCCGTCGGGTACCAGGTGGTGACTTGTGTGACACTGGACTTGCTGGGACTTCAGGATGCTGTGAATGGGGCAAAATGACAAGGAAGGCAATAATCCTTTTATATGTATATATCTAAACTCATGATGACATGCCCACAGACAATGGCGTTCCATTTATTTTATTGCTTTCTAGTGAAAACAAGATTGATTATTTGAAATCTAGTTTCTTGGTCATTTTGAAAATGTCCATGTCATGCTCTAACATGTACCAAGGGGAAAATTCCATATGAAGTGATGTCTGTGTCTCTGAATACTGGAACTTGCTGACTTGCTCCAGTGCCTTTTCTTCACTGTCGTAGCGAGGCAAGCTATGCTGTTCCTCGCTTGTACATCTGCAGAGTTGTTAATTTATGTGTTATTAACTCAATTTTAAAAATATTAGCGCCTTTCATATTTTGAATAATGTTTTGCCATTATAACTGTACTTGATGCTACATGGGGAGAGGGTTATAAAGGATTTTACCGTGCACAAGGATGGTTGGCACCTAGTCCTGCTCAGAGGGTGTCAGGACCACTGATAGCGGCAGCATCCCACCGAGTAGCCATTCCACATGCGAACTGACCAGGATGAATTGTGAATTCAAAAGGAATTTGTTGTGGTTCTTGGTTTTAAACGATGGTGAAGAGTCTCACTAGTGTTGTTGCAAACTGCTGAGTGTTGCCATTGGGGCAGGGGCACTCTGGAAAGATGGCTGTGGTGCTGCCATGTGTGTGTATCATCAGCACACAGAGGCGTCTGTTGAGCTCACAGGCTGCCTGAAAATCCAGTGGCTGTCTGCATTTGGCCCCTATAGTTCTGAATAACACATGTGTAGACATCTTTTGTTATTAATAAAGGAAGAGTAACCCTGGCAATTTATTTTGCCAATTTTATATAAATAACACAAAACCTAATAAATAGGTATATAGTTATTACCACACAAGTCCCCATCAAACGTGATATTTTTACTGATAAATGGTTTTCATGTTTAGAACCTCTTCCTTGTAGTGGGCAGTCCTTTTCTGAGAATTCTGCCTCATTCATTTACTTAAGTTTCTTTTTCATTTGTGTATATTAATTGTACAAAATAATGGTTTCATTATGACATTCTCATGCATGTGTAAAATGCACTTCAATCAAATTGACTCCCCCATTACTCTCTTTTCCCTGCTCCCCTCTCCTGTGGGTCCCTTTTCTCTTCCCTAATATTGTCCCTTTGACTTTCGTGTCTTTTAGAATCTTAAGTTCTGCATATGGGACAAAACATGTGATACTTGTCTTTCTGAGTCTGGCTTATTTCCCTTAACCCGATGAACTCCAGTTCCATCCATTTTCCTTCTGACAACATCTTGTTCCTCTCTATGGCTGAATGAAACTCCATTGTGTGTGTGCACCATGCTTTCTTTATCCATTCACCTAATTTATGAAGTTAGGAATGGACACAAGGAATCAGAGAATATTAAGAGAGTAGTTCCTGAGCTGTGTGCAGAAGGTGCAGAGACAGCTGGCGGACACTTCTGCCCTGTGGCCGAGTCACCAGTCACATTGGCCAACACAGAAAATCCTTTCTTACTGTCATTTCCTCGGGAGTTTATTTTTGGTACTGTTTCTCATTCATTTTTACATCTCTTTTTCAAAGAAAACATAGTCACTCGTCTTTTAGAACCAGCACTTGCGTTTGCTCCTCTCCCTCTCTGTGGATACCCCACTTAATAACCTTTCAGTTCAGTAACTTATTGCCAGTAATTGCTCTTTGAGCCTTTCCGGGTCTCCTTCTTGGCTCTTTCCCCCAAACGCTCCCTCTCCTGGCTCTGGTGTGGCCGTGTCTGGGGCACGTGGCACCCGTGTGATGCATTTTTGACTTGTTTACTGAACATCCAAGCAGGAGCTGCCTGTCCCCAGACGTCTTTCCCTCCCCTCTCGTCTCAGTATGCCCTGCTTGACCTGTCTAATCAAAACCTCCAAGTTCTAGAGACTGGTGTGTGGGAATACCATATGTCATTTCCAATGACAGGCATCTTATTCAAAAAGCCATCTTGTATTGTGTCTGCCTCCTGGAGTTTTCGCCTCCCGCTGAGCACAAAGCAGTCTCCTCTCTGCTGACTTGCTCTTCCTGTGCTTATGGTGTATATTGTGCTGTCTGCAGGGTAGGGGTCTTCTCTCTGTCTCCTTGGATGCTGATTCAGGACTGGACCAGGTTGGCTATACCCTACAGCCTACTGCACTAACTCCATGTGGTTGGTCAAAGCCCACTTGGTTGGTGTGAGGGCTGCCTGGCCTTCAGCTGTCTGGGTACAGCAGCCCAGTGTGTTTATTCTGAAAATAAAATGTGCTTACTCCTGGTGAAGTACAACGAGTCCTTCGGCAATAATAATACTGATGTCCCAGCCGGTCTTAACTGTTGATTGGAATGAGTGTCGTGCTTCTTGGCTCTTGTCTACCCCAGTCATATTCTCTCCCAGTCTAAGCATGGCACCAGCCCTAGGGCACATAAATATGGGGGAGACCGGCCCTGCCCTCAGACAGCTCAGCCTGTCAGGGCCACCAAGGCTCTGCAAGGGCTGGACAGCAGTGACTGGGAGCTCTGGGGGCTCCACAGAGAGACACTGGCGAGGCCGGAGCTTTGAAGGTGAGGTGGAGGCATCCAAGGGGCTGGGTGTATAGCCTGATATACAAGGGGACTGAGCTTGGAAGGCCTGGGTCAAAATGGGACCTTGCAACATGGGAATTCCATCTTCAGTGACCACTAAGAAGGACCTGGCTTGAACTTCACTGCCTCACCTTGGTGGCATACAGTAGGGTTAGCTGGTGGCTATTGTGTGGGGCCTGTGATGGGGACCCAGGAACCAGGAGCTTCTTGGGGCCAGAGATGGGGCCTCCACAGAATCATCAGCTCTCATGTGGTGTGCCTCCTCCCATCAGCTTTCACTCAGCTGCTCACTGTGGGCCCCTTGGGCTGTACCAGCTGCTCCGGCTGGAACTGTATGCTTGTCACCATCCACTGTCATCCTAGAACCCATGCACTGTCTTTGCACTTCCATTGTAATTAAGAGAACAAAATAGACTAGAGAAACTGGTGAAAAAACTCACTTGCTAAGAAAATTTGTGTTCATTTACAGGTGGGTGAGATACCTGTGCAATCAATCAGGAAGTCTGAGTTCTCTCTGGAGAGACAAAGTTAGAACAGAGAAGGGAAACTCAGGCCAGAGCATCAGGTGCCAAGGCTGCTAGGGGGTCCTGTCTGAGACCCAGTTGCCCCCACAGCCCAAGGCCATGACATGCTTTGTCACACTTTCTGAACTAAGGTGAGCAGAGCTCTGGGATTGGCCCTGGTGGAGGCTTCCCCTGAGCTCTGGTGCTCACCTTGGCCTTCAGTTCTGGCAGGTGCAGGGTCAAGGACCCTGCAGAGCTTCGGTGGCCTGAGGTCAGGGTGGACAGGCAAAGGAAATGTCCAGCAAAGAGCACAGGCTCACCTCCTCCTCTGGGACACGTCTCTGCTTAGCTGCACTGCCCGCAGGCCTGACCT